TTTAAAATACACTATTAAATAGTGCAGGGGGTAAAAGGTCCTCCATAAAGTTTGATATCGTAACAACAATTTCGGTCAAAGTTGGAGTATTTTTCAAACCCTTTTCCTTAAAACTTTAGGGTTTAACATTTAGGTTTTTATTATTGAGCTTATTATACTTTAAAAATTATGGACTTATATTTATTATTGTTTTAATTTTATTGAAATCTTTGCATACAAATTAATGTATCGTACTAAAATAATAAATTCAAATGAACTCGATTCCGAAAGACTATATTCGTGTACACTATTATTCAAGACAATTTGAACGTGAAAAATCCTCAAGTCTATCCTACAAGACATATTAAAAAGTTTTCTATACTTCTCTACTTTTTGTTGATGTGGATATTATAATTTTGACAATAATTTATCCATTTTTTTTGTTTGATCACGGGGTGATAGATTTCTTATTTCGAATTTTGATGAAATTAATTATCGAATAGATTATTTTGATAATGTTTTTTTTTTTTTTTGTAATTGAGTTGTTCTTTAAATTTTATTTGTTTAAGTATGTATTGATCGTATTAATTGATGAGCTTTCAATTGAATGTATTGTTATAAATACTTTTTTTGTTCGAACAAAATTATAAAATTAGGTTATGTTTTTGTTGAACAATGTCACTTTCAAGTAATTAAGAAATTAATTATTATCTTTATTCTAGATATACTAAGGATAAATGGAGATGTCATGATCATTAGAAATTAATTCAACAAAATTATAAGAAGCAAATCATTAATTGCTGCCAATATTAGTGGAGGAAATTAATCACCGTTCTAGTTTTTATTTTTGTCATTAAAAGACACCTTCATATCTACTTATTTGCTTAATTTTATGTATTTATTATTTGTTAGTTATTTTATTAGTTCAAAGAAAAAATGTTATTCTTATTAATATTGTCTGAATTTAGTTGCTTAGTAATATTAATTATTGGAATGGGAAGCTAGTAGGCAAGCACACAGAGCGTATCAGTCAGCTTTGAGCTGTTGAGTGACGATTGCTTCATCTCTTAAGAAAGGACCTGAAGAGTATGCCTTATATTAAAAGGGTATTCTCTTTTCTAATGTATGTTATATTAGTGTCCTATTATTTAAGAAGTGATTCAAAATTAAGTTCACGTAATAATACTCGCTAAAAAAAGGATAAAAGGAGATGTCATGATATTAAAAATTTAATTAAGTTCTTGAACATTAATCAAAATAATAAAGCCAACATCAAAAAGGACGAGAGAAGAGCCGGGGGAAGATCTAGAATTTCAATTACAGATTCACGTGAACCCAATAATTTTTGTTCAGATCTTGTATAGATTAAGAAATTTGCTAAATAGTTATGAATATTTGGCTTTGTATGAAGCCGTCTATTATAGAATTAAGTTGAGATCATGGTAAAAACGCATAAATTTCAAATTCTTATCGCAATCGGAAAAAAAAGTATCATTTGGAAAAATTAATGACGTTATATTGAAACCAATATATTCAGGCAGTTCAATCTCAACTAATTAAATCACTTGCATTGTACGAGTTTACCACATTAATTAAGTAGACGTGATTCTTTTAAATGATATCTCCCTTTAATTAATTATACAATACAATACTCCCAACGTCGAAAAATATGTAGTATCTTAGAAAAAATATTGTCCTATACTCCATTTTTAAAATAGTGTTTATTTTTCAAAAGATATTATTAAATAAGAATAATTTAATAAATATACATTATATTTATGGAAAATGGTCTAATATATGTCTTAACTTTGTCATTTAGAGTTGATATACCTTTCGTTATAAAAAATAGTTCTTATATATACCCTCAGTGGCGGAACCAGAATTTTCATTAAGGGGGTTCAAAATTTGAAGAAATAGACACAAGAAGTGGCCGAAGGGGGTTTGACAACTTCTATATATACCTGAAAATTTATTTTAACCATATATAAATAATATAATTTTCCGCCGAAGAGGGTTCGGATGAACCTTCTAATTATAAAGTGGCACTGTATACCCTACCGTTGTACAAATGACTCACAAATCAATTCCTTAATATCTTACTATTAATTTTATTAATTAACGTGATTTTTGCTACGATAATAATTTACAAAGAGGGAGTAAAATTTAAAAGGGAAAAAAATAATATCTCTCCACATATCTCCAACAACCCCAACCAATTTTTCCTTCTCATTAAGAAGAAAAGACAAATTATTTTTATGTCACAACCATATAATAAATGCTAAATATGCACCACAAAAAAAATTACTTTAATTGCACTATAAAAAATAATTTTTTTACATTTTTTTTTTTTAAAAAAAAAGGACCACATGTGTCCTCTCCATAAAAGTATAATCATGTTCACGGGTAAAGCAAGGATCATTACAAATTACATTAATTATATATGATTAATTGAATTTAGTTCAGAATATTTAATATTTTAAAAGAAAAAAAGGTCATTTTTTCCCCAAAGCTAATGTTAATCCTCCAATTAGTTGAGTGATTATCAAATACAATGTTTAACGGGCGATAAAGATAATTTACATAAATAATGTTTGTTATAACAAAAATTATTAAATGTCATTATTAACTCACCATTATTAGATATTCATGAAATTATTTTCACCGTTTTAAATTATCTGTTGTGTTTCTCTTTGATATATTTATGAAGAAAACACTAATTAGGAGGTAGTTTGGAAGTTTTTACTATTTAAATCTCATTTGTCTTAATTAAAATATAACCTACGCTCATTACTCGGTTATCAACTTTCTCAAAATAAACGGAGGTTTGTTGTTAACTGTTCACGAAAACATCTAACATATGCTATAGTTAAGCCTTTTTGGTCTTTTATCAAATTTTTAGCGTTGACCTAGAGAAAAATGAGGTTGATGGTATTGGCTAAAAATTGGGGGGCTTAAGGTATGCTTACTTCGACATTTTCATTCCTTCATATTGTACTTCTGGATCAATCCATCCTACATGGAAAAGGAAAGGATCCGTCAAACTGCGAACCACTTTGTTGAGCAGAATATTCAAGCATTTTAGAAAAAGGATGGAAACTTGTCAACTAATTGTGAAAGCACCCTTTGTTACTATTGGACAAATTTTTTCTTTAGTTTCTTCTTGTTATTTGTCATAACACTCATTCTAGAACGAGTTGGAAGAAGACATTCCTAATTCTTATCCGGATTATGTTATTGAGGTGGTTGTTGTCTTCAAGAATAATTACTACAAAGGATAAAATGAAGGGAAAACTTATCTTAAACTTCTAAGATAACAAATACTTCCTTTGTTTCATATAAGTTGCATGTTTTTTCATCTACACGCCTTAAGCAATCATAAATAAGAAGAATAATTTTACTAATTTAACCTTTAAAAACTTTCTTGGACCTTTACAATCTTGTTTACACTTTCAAAAAGAATTAATTGTGAAGATAAAAATGAAAAATGTAATTAATTTTATCTTAATTTTGTAAATTGACAAGTAATACGAAAAATGTTTCTTAATAAGATGAACTTTTAATATAAGATACAAAGAATAATTTAGAAATAGATATTTTTAAAAATTTGTGGCAGGTCAGACATAACTATACACTATACAGTACAACCTACACTAGAAATTATATCACACCAACTAAATATTAAATATGTTTTCGAATTATTTACACTATGTTTGGATCATTGTTACCCATTGTTTCATAATGTATTGTATTGTATTGTATTGTATTGGATTGGATTGTATGATAGATACAATGTTTGGCTAGACTGTATTGTTTGTTGTTGTTTAAGGAGTAACATTTTTATTGTTTGGTTTGATTGTATCGTACTGTATTGTAATTTATAAATTTGCTAAAATATCCTTAAACATTCTAGTGTAGGAGGTTTGACTAGAATTAAATAATATATGGTAAAGGGTAAAATAATATTATAAAAATATTAAGTAAGGATATAATTGAAAAAATAAATTAAGTAACAATGGAAACACACCAAATTGGTTGTGTCCATAAAATGTGGGTTTTCATTGTTATGTAACAACGAAGTTTAATAATACAATACAATACATTTTAAGTAACAATCAAAACAAACATTGTAGGTATGATAACGATACAGTATAATATAATAAGTAACAATGATCCAAACACAGTGTTAAAGATTATGTTTGCCATTTATTGATATTAATTAATTAATTACTAACTCCTAACTAGGTTAGTACTCCCACTTTGACTATTCAACCTATTATGTTTTTAAAATATATATATATTTTCCTAGTATAATCTACTTGCTAAAAGAAAATTAACCATTGTTATATGGTCCAAAATATGAATTGAATGTATTTAAACGATGTACAAATACTTTTATAATGATTATGTTTTGTGTTACATAAAAATATTTACATTCATACTTCTTCCGAGACATGCATAATGTTTAGTAGATACTTGTACAGATTACAATTTAGAAATATGATCGGATGAATAAGATTTCTTTACACTTGATAAAAAAAATTGAGTTTAAGCCTGAAGAATAAAAAAAATCCAAGTCAGGAGCACTTTCTCCTTAATTGGGCATTTGGATACTGAGCGATGTGAATATAGATTAATCAGACCAATAAATTATAGATACCAGATGATTTGACAAAAAACAATCTTTATGCGTAAAAGAGGCATACATCCTACTTATGAGTTCATCAGAGTTTAGTAGTTTTAGCCTAGATCTTATATTTGTATTAAAAAATTTACTACATATCCTTAAATATTTATCTGTGAACTCAATTATTATTGTATTCTTTTTGTTTAATAATTGTGGTGTCCGAAACAACTCAACTAATTCCACATAATACCTATCATCTTTCACCAGCAACAGGTACCAGGTAACTCTATCAACCTGGTACCTGCTGTATATTAACTTTGTACAAGTTAATACTGTTGTATATTAACTTGAACCCGCTTTTAGGAACTCATAACTTCAAATTATGAATCTGCCTCTGCCCGCAAAATAAAGTTATACTATAAAATTTTGAAAAGAGGATTAAACTGTCCTGATGTAACATAAGAAACTAGAACTAGAGAAAACTAAACCCAAGATGTTTACCAAGTACTTGCTATTATACACAACTTTGCTAACTCTGTGATGCATTAAAAGAAAAAGATATTCAATGAAATAGCTAATGAAAATGATAAATGATGTGTCTCAATCACAGCCTCTAATTCAGCTGAGAAAAGGGATAGGAGCTTAAAAGTACAGGACTGTTGGGTGATCAAATCAACAACAACATATCGAGTATAATCCCACAAGTAGGGTCTGGGGATGGTTGTGTGTACGTAACATTGCCCCTATCTTCTATCTTTGTAAAGGTAGAAAGATTGTTCCTGATAGACCTCAGCTCAAGTGAAGCATATCAAAAACAAGTACGAAAAGGAAATAGAGTAGTAAAAAAGTCATGCTAAAAGTAGGTGCTCAGATGAACCTGGAGCATAAATTGTTCAAGCAATAACATCAAAAGTATTGACATGAAAATGTTGTTGTTTCTATATGGGAAGAAAAATGGATCTCTATTCAATTCAAATAACTATATAAATGTTTTTTTTCAACATAAACATAATATATCTGTACTTGCTTTGTTATTAAGCTTGTTCATTTATTGCAAGCGCAGTCGAATACAGTAAAAGGACATACTTCTGCTTAAATTGAGGCTTCTATTCATGGTTGTTGTTGGTTCTTGTAGGTAGTTGTTGCTCTTCAATTGAATTTAGCAAATGTCCTTTACTGCTTGAACATCATTTTGTATTGTTGTACCCCGACCTTGTTCCTTACTAGAGCTGCAACTTTCCGTGTTTGATGTATGACGAGCTTTTCAGTTCTCTGTTCCGCCTTACTCATGATTCAAAATCTGTGACAAGGGAAATGGGCAACAAATTAGGTGTGCAGATTCCTTACGAAACCATTGTAGGAAATAAATGAGAAATACATAACTCGCTGAAGAAACACACCATAACAAAAAAATGACTACTGTGCGAGAAGCCTGTCCACTTAGTTTAGTTTGTTCAATTGCATACTGAATGATGAAGAAAACCAGCGAACCACAAGGCATAGACACTGTCAATTGGATTCTTTACTTAGGGTAGGGGAACTACTCTTAGGAGAAACTAATGCACCAGCTTCATAGTATTACATGTCGTGACCAGCAGTATCCTTGTTATATTCAGTCGCATACTTCTCAAGATATAAAAATCCATTATACGCTTAAAAGTTCATGGCTGTTACAAGCAGAAACCATACAAAAGCAAAAGCAAATGCAATACTGTCTGTTTTGAATGCTTACCAATTTCAAGAAATTTATGAAACACCTATCCGAGAAGGTTCTCAAGAATTTTTCCAGCATCACATATGCAGTTAAAAGTGTTGGAAGTTATTAACACTAATGAGAATTACCTCACGTTCAAATGTCAGGTTCAAGTAATCCATTTCTTATCTACAACTTAGGTGGACTTGAGCTTCTTCTGATGTCTGAGTTCAGAACAACATTCTTCTAAATGAAGAATATGTAAGTTGGCAATGATCCCTTAATTCAACTAACAAGAATTAACAGTTATGAATCCTAATGCTGCATCGATCTTCTACTTTGAACCGTCAATAAAGCACTACTGGTAATACTAGTGAACACCAGGATCCTACATCAGACAACAGTAACTAGATAAATTTATCAGCTAATACCAGGTCAGTGTAATGTTTTCACATTAACTTGATGTATTATTAGTACCTTGTTTGGTACACTTTTCTAACTTATGCATAACTAATGCTTGTATTAATAATACACTCTATTGTGTATTGAAGAGTGTATTACTAATACCATCTATTTCTATGCATTAGTAATGCAATGGGTTCTAATGCATGCATTAACATTATTAAAGACACAATTGCCCTCAAAAACTCTTTTTACATCCTTTCCATTATATTTGTTGAGGGTATTTTTGTAAACAAATATTTTTTCTAAAAAAACTATGTAATGCATAATATTTTTAGTACACCAAACCAAACATTGCATAAAAAAAATCTTATCATAACTAATGCCAGCATAACTAATACAAGCGTTACTAATGCAAGCATTACTAATACACTATATTTTGCATTATTCTTATACACTCTACCAAACGACCCCTAAGAACATTACTTAGATGACAGCTTTCTCACTTTTGAAATCTGAGCCAGCAATCATACTTCTTAGTCTGTTATAACATTTTACTTTTATAAAAGAAATCAAATGAAAAGAACATAAAAAAGTTTTAGCCAAAGAGTTAAAAGCTGAGAAGTACTAAAATAAGAAGACATAGACATGACAGTAGTTCCCAGATTCTTACTCGTCGGACCTAATTCATGAAAGTTTTGGAGGCGATTAGGCACAAGGTTAATTTTCTCCCTTTTTTCATTTAGTACGTTGCATAGCTGCTGGGGCTCAATCTGCATCAATTCCTTTGCACTCATTTTGATCTGAGAATTCTGAGCTAACAACTTTCTGCATTGTAAACCTCCACGTTAGGAAAGCATTCTGAGGATGGTGGAATCACCAGTTCATATCTCCTTCTTATAAGAATGAAGCTGAAGACAATAATCAGTTGCTGCATCAATCATGTCCTGAATAAAGTACAGCGTAAAAATGATTGCTCAGAAGTCCAAAGTGGAGAACTTCATTGTCAGAGAATTAACGGTGCATCATAAAGTAAGAAAGATTCAAAAGTACCTGAACGAGAGTCCAGCTTCCACCACGCATGAGCATCTTCCTTCGAGATGGAAGCATCAACATCCTCTTTATCATCTTCCCCAGAAAAGATTCCATCAGAATCATCACTCTCAACTTCAGAGTAATACAACTTTTTCTCTACCTCAGGATCATATGTCCACTCCAATCTTTTCAAAACATCTCGGTCCTTCCATCGTCCAACAACAGAGACAGCTTCTTTCTTGGCCTTTCCCATCATAATCTCTTGCCACGAGAAAGCAGCATCCGCTGTCCTCTTAAGAGCCCCATCATTACTATCACCAACAACCACTGTCTTCAAACACCTCAACCGTGCCTCCTTCAACACTTCCACAAAATCAGAATCATCAGACACAAGAACCACATAATCCACCATCCTCTTATCCATTACATCAACCAAATGATTCCTCAATGCAACATCAGCAGCCTGTGGCTTATCCGAGACAGTCCTAACCCAAAAACCTGCCCGTTTCAAATCATCCGCCAAACCATACCCAACTTTCGGGGTCAAAACATCCCTAACAGCACCCTTATACTTATCCATCTTCATTGCATACTTAGCCACCAACTTCACCCTCATTTTACCTCTAGCAGACTCAATCTGATTCAACCTTTTCGTCTGCTCACGTTCGTGAATTTGCTTAAAATGATTCACAAGCTTCTCATTAGTATAAAATCTCCTCCCACACACTCTACATATATAAGGATCCTCAACCTTAACAACCCCACTTTTCTCCAACAAATTCAATGTTTTCCGCTCTTTCCTTTGCTGCCTAACTAAAGGAGGAACATAACTAAAGGCGTGTCGATTAGCATAAGCTACTGTAAATCTCACAACCCCAAATTGTCCAGCTGCCTTTTTGAGCTTAGTGGCAGCATCAAATGGTGGAAATGACTTAGGTGGTTTGTTATCTAAATCCCAGAAAATTCCAACACTAGCTCTAATTGGTGAGTCTAAAGAACCAAAACCCAGATGGGATTTGGATTCAAAGTGACAAAATCTTTTATAGGAACAAATAGCATGTATAAAGGAGCTTACTTTGACACAGTTCATCATTCTTTTAGGAAAAAAATCGAAATTGAGAGTTTCTTGATGGTATAGAGGCAAAAAGATTACAAACCCAGTTTAGTAAATTCAAATAAATCCACAAAATATCATCGGAAAAAGAATGGGTTTAGGTTTCCGGTACCTAAAATGCTTGATTTCGCCGGAGACGATGGCTCTGCTCCCAAGAAACTTGGGACTCCATCATCCGTGTAGTATCTGTTTTCCCTAATTCGGAAAGGCTAATTTTACTAATTTACCCTTTAATAATATTTTTGAATTTTTATAAAATTGGTTACACTTTAAAAGAATTAATTATAAAAATAAAATAGAAAAATATTAATTGATTTTGTCTTAATTTAATAAATTAACGAATAATTTCAGATAATTAATTTTAATAATATAGACAACTTATATGAAACGAAAGGAAAAAATATCTCAAAATGGTCCTTTCATCTTTATGTTAATACTTTAATTTATGCCTCTCTTTTTTTTTTATGAAGCACTAATAATCACCATGTTTGATATTGGTGCATTTTCGATCTTCCTCTAAAGGTTTGACTATTTTTTAATTTGGTTTTGTCTATATTTAATGTATGAAATATTTAATCGTTTGTCTTTATATTCAGTAGAAACAATAACTCATGTGAAGGTGAGAATAATAATGTTTTTGTTATAACTAAGGAAAGAAAATTTTGTATTATTGTACGTGATATATGATGTGATGAATCTCTTGATGTCAAATAATGACGAAAGTTTGAGGGTAGACCAAAAGTGCATCAATACTATGCACATAAAAGAAAACTATCGTTTCACGTAAAGAAACAAGTATGATTATGAGTCTAAACTCAAAAACAAGAGACTATTTTGCAATCACAACACAATATTTTCTTTTAAATATATATAAGCCGATCGTACTTGTAATGGTTCTCAAGGATCCAATATGACCACTTAGGTCTGAAAAATTCTTAAATGTATAAATACATAATTTGTATATACTTACCTTATTTGTATATTCGCAAGCTAAATATATAAATGGGCAGAAATATACAACCGCAGCCTCCATAGCAAACGAAACTATAGCTATAAAGCGCAATTATCAAAATATAGTTATAGAGCCTTATTATATCTATTATGTTTGTTATTTTTGAAATTTTCTCTCAATTCAATTTTTTGGGTCGTATATGAAATGTAAGCCTCGTTTTACTATTTGGGCTTTGTAACTTTACAAAGGTAGGAATGGCACCAAATAATTGCTTACAATAGCACTATTTAAAATATAACCCGTTTCTAATACTATTATTTATAATTTAACCGGTTTGTTTTTCTTCCTCTTTGCAATGTTATGCAAAAATTTCTATCATCTTAATGGTGGAATACCACATTAGGAGTGTTGAATGGGTTGAATTAGAAGGATCAAAATGATCCGAGTTAATAAATGACTAGTCCAAAAATTATTTGAACTAAAATATGCTGAAAAATGGATCATAACCCATAATTATCAAAACAATATAAATGAAAGTATTCAAAAGTTTAGTTTCGAAATTTTTCATTGAAAATCTCCATCATGCCAAGCGAGTTTATTGTCACAGTGGTGTTTTTAAAAGGTGAGAAACAATACCACTAATGTCAAACATAAGTCACAACGCACAATCGATTATCATATAAAATGAGACTTTTAATTAATACATAACAATGATTTTGTCGATACAATACAAGTTACACCCGTAATCAAATTTCAATTGTCAATTTACCTCATTTATGACCTAATTATGTATACCGTCAAAGAATAAAAAGAGTTAAAAATAAAACTTAAACCAAATAATAAGTCCAAAGTAAACAACCACCAAATGAGGTGAAGTTGGTGATACATATTCGTTGACTACAAAAGGTTTTGGTTCAAGTTGATTTTTAGTACTCTCTCCCTTTCAATTACGAATTTATTAGTCTGATTTCGACTTGACATGAAAATTAATAAAGTAAAAAAACATTTAAATCTTATAGTCTTAAATCAAAATTATGTAAAATATACTAGAATGCTCTTTAATCTTGTGATCTTAAACATGTGACGTAAAAAGTTAAAATTTAAATATTATAAAAATATATATACTCCTTTTAAAACGAATTAAAAATGAAGGTAAGATAAACAAATCACGATTTGAATCAACTGTGTGAATATGACCTTTTTAGGTTAACAACTTGAATAAGAAAATTAAAAAGGTTATTGTGTGTCATGTTCTTGACTTTTTTAGTGTTTGACTTCAATAAAATACTCCAAACCATTTTCATATCTCTGTTTGACCTCTACTACTGTTTCTAAGGACATTTGAAACGTGAGATAGGGATAATAATTTTGAGATAAAAAATTAAAATAAATTTTATTTTATATTTGATTTAACGTAATAGTTTAATTTGAGATTATTTATTTCAATATCTATATTAAATTAGTGTGATAATTACTATCTCATATAAAAAAGTATGACAAAATAATCTCATTAAATATTATTCTTTATCTCATTCCACGTATTACACAACCCCTTAATTTGTCTGATTTGAAAATAAGTTATGCAAATAATATCATATTATAAATAAGGAAAAAATTAGTTATGAAGGAATTGTATTATATTTATCATAAGATTATTTTTTATTAAATATTTAGTTTGACTTGAATATTATATTTATGATAAGCTCATGAACTGCAAAAAGGGAAAGATCTTTATTGTGAGTTACGAGTACTCACACTTAAATGATAGTATAAATAGGGGCGTATTCAACGGGTTTCGAATTTTCGTGAATTTATACTCTCCTTCTAAGATTATAAGTATATAGTAGTGTTATATTTTTAAAAAAATATTAAAATATAGATATATGAACCCACATTGTAATGTGATAATGACGGGGTGCATCTCTCTACGTGAAGTTAGAAAATTGAATTTTATATTTATCTTGTTTAATTCTTCTTTCTAAAATTAAATAATACCTCTCTTAGTGGTTATTGATAGCACTTTTGACATTTTAATTAATTCATATATATATATATATATATTAAAATTTTAACGATTTTCAATAATAAGAACTTAAATGTTGGTTATTAGTGCATCCATCATCTCAAAATCTTAGATACACTAATAAATAATTATTCACCTGCAACCATAATTTCATATACCTTTCTTCCTTCCATTTTGGTTGATACTATTCTTTTTATTAGTCAATTTAAAAAATATCATATTTCTATTTATATATTTTTCTTATTTGGAGTTATTATAGTCACATAAAAATTATGACATATTTAAGATTATAAATTTCAAAAATCATAGAGCTATTATGATACATCTATAACTACAAATTTCAGATATAGTCATATAAATATTATGATATATTATATGGATGCGTACAATATGGAGTAAAACTAGTTGGTCGAAGGAAATGTATCTAAAGTTTTGTATGAATGTGTGAGAAAATTGTTAGGTTTCAAGCCATTAATATTGCCTTGTAAGGAATTCTTGTATATCATATATTATGGTCAAAGATTGAAACTTTGCCTCATGTGATATTTGCAGTGTATTTCCATTAATGTATATACTTTCTTCCCTCGTGGAGCATGGAACACTAATAATTTCAATTTTCAATCGTGAATATTGAAGCTAGACTAATTTTCTTTATTGTATCGGTTATATAGTCGGTAATAGTAAAAATGATAATTAGCATAAATCATATTTTATAACACAAATTTTTTATTTATTCGACATATAAGAACCTCTATTTTTAGTAGATTAAAAAAAAAATCACTTAATCAAAGACATTTCAAAATAATTAGTAATCGATAAACCTAATCTATTTTTAATTTATTAAAAAGGTAGCATATATATTCACTTGTAGATTAAACTACCCTCTTTTACAGTGAGATTTTTTTTTTTTAAGATAATGTCAATATATATATATATATATATATATATATGATACAATATCAAATATGATTACATGAGTTAGATGTGGACCGTTTTTATGTTGACACGTAACTCAAAGATTAGGCACAAATTAAAGATTTAATTAATTTCAATAAAAAGGTAATGTGTTGTCAATCGTGGGTACTTGACTAAAAATCTAATAATTTTTCAATGTACCTAATATTCTACAAAACCACAATTAATTCAGATATATTCAATTGAAGAGGATGACCGCCAAACAAATAAGCCAAATACTATAGTTATTAAAATTAATAAGACTTGTTCAATTCTTTACTTGTTATCTATGACATACTCCAACAAGTTTAATACACATTTCTCCCTCCGTTTAAAAAAAATGACCTAATTTCTTTTTTAATCTGTTTTAAAAAGAATGATTCTTTTTCTTTTTTGACAATATTTTAACTTCAATTTTCTACGTGACATGTTTAAGGCTACAAAATGAAAGGACATTTGGTACATTTGACATAACTTTAATTAAGAACAAGTCTTGCTCCTATTTTTTTTCTTAAACTCCGTTTCAAGTCAAATTAGGTTATTCTTTTTTTAAAACGGAGGGAGTAACTTTTAGTACCATTCTTTATGTCCCATTTAATTATGTGAACGTACGAGTGCTATTTCCCACTACATTCCCCATGTCATGATGACCACTTTTAGGTTTAATTTTAGCTCATCTATACCGCCGTCGGACGCGATGCCCTATCTTATTATCACCCGTCGCAGGGCCGTCTTAACCCCTAGGCCACTAAAGCCATCACTTGGGGCCCCATATTTTTTGGGGCCCCCATTTTAAAAAAACAATTACTTATATATATTATTTTTTAAAATAAATAAATTATATGTACTATAAGTGCTATGATTTCTACTAAAGAAATTGCATATGACATGAATACAAATATAATTTTCGTAAGAAACAATTTGATGAAAATATGGATAACGAAATCACTAAGTCCCTCGAAGAATCTTTAGAGTTGATTACATTATATATGTAGAGTAGATCAAACTATTTTTTCACTTTAAAATAGATTTGAACCAATTGAAGCATATAAAAATATTTTTGATTTCTTATTTAGTGGTAAAATATTGAGATTACTAGATGATGAAATTTTTTTAAAAATATTGTCTTAACCTTGAACTTTCTTTAACACATACTAGTTATTCTGAATTGATGGTTTAGATTTATTTTTTGAAGTAAAAGTGTTAAAGATAAACAATACAAGTAGAAGATAATGATGTAATGAAAATACTCAATCAAATAAAAGA